AGGGAGTATAGCAGGCATGCAGGGAGTGTAGCAGGCATGCAGGGAGTGTGGCAGGCATGCAGGGAATGTAGCATGCATGCAGCGAGTGTAGCAGACATGCAGCGAGTGTAGCAGACATGCAGCGAGTGTAGCAGGCATGCAGGGAGTGTAGCAGGCATGCAGGGAGTGTGGCAAGCATGCAGGGAATGTAGCATGCATGCAGCGAGTGTAGCAGACATGCAGCGAGTGTAGCAGGCATGCAGGGAGTGTAGTTGGCATGCAGGGAGTGTAGCAGGCATGCAGGGAGTGTAGCTGGCATGCAGGGAGTGTAGCTGACATGCAGGGAGTGTAGCAGGAATGCAAGGAGTGTAGCAGGCATGCATTGAGTGTAGCAGGCATGCAGGGAGTGTAGCAGGCATGCAGGGAGTGTAGCAGGCATGCAGGGAGTGTAGCAGGCATGCAGGGAGTGTAGCAGGCATGCAGGAAGCAACAACAGCTTTCTTGATTGCCCTTCTGTTGGCCAAGATAGTAGCAATGGTTGATTGGGGTTTGTTATACAACCTGGCCAGCTTGGAGGCATGCACTCCACTTTCATACTTTGTGATTATCTCTTTCTTCAATTCGATAGTATTTCTCATACTTTTTACTACAGGGTTGACACTAGAAGCTTTCTTTGGGCCCATGGTGGCTGTACATAGTGGCTGTAATAGTGGTTGGCTGTACATAGTGGCCGGGCAGCCGCGGGCGGCCCAGGCTGTGCGGACGCGTTCGGGACGAATGTCCTTGAGTTTTTCATCGTTGGCCGAGCCAAATATTTTTACGCAAAAACGCACTGGTATCTGATTTTATTACTATCCGATGACATCATTACCCAAGGGTCCACTGTACTTGCAACATCTGCCACATTGCTCCCCTATCCACTCTATCATATGCCTTTCTAAATCCATAAATGCAATGAAAACTTCCCAACCTTTATCTAAATACTGTTCACATATATGCTTCAATGTGAACACTTGATCTACACATCCCCTACCCACTCTAAAGCCTACTTCCTCATCCACAATCGTACTCTCTGTCTTACCTCTAATTCTTTCAATAATAACCCTGGTATACTCAGTAATGTTTATGAGACAGAAAAGAGACACCAGCAATCCTACCATCATGTAAAACAATTTCAGGCTTTCGTTTTACACTCACTTGGCAGGACGGCAGTATCTCCCTGGGTGGTTGCTGTCTACCAACCTACTACCCCCATATGCACTGTAATTCATGCAAGCCCATTTTCTTTGGTATACTATAATGGAAATTTTGCTGAATATGCATTAATATTTATGTTACAAAATTATTAGATTATATTTTTCTTAATATTTAGTGCTGAAATACAAAAAAACTTGTATGTTGCCATGAAAAAAGTCCAAAACAAATCCATGAATTTGCATGGATTTCTGCAAACAATTATTAGTTAGGTTCCAAGGAAAAATCCGTGAATTACTGAAGCCATGAGTTCAGAACCGCGAATTTGTCCATTGTATATGTGAATGACCAGGACAGAGGGATAGATTCAGAGGTGTCCCTGTTTGCAGATGATGTGAAGCTAATGAGGAGAATACAAGTGGACGAGGATCAGTTCAGCCTACACACTCACACACGCACACATGTACACACACTCCATCTGAGTTTTCTTTTTTTCTTAATACAGTGGAACCTCTACTTACGACTTTAATCCATTCCATGACCTTGCTCGCATCTGGATTTGTTCATTTGCAATGAAATGGAATTAATTTGTTCCAGTGGAATTCCAGGCATGAGAAAATACTTCAATAATTTCTCTTATATCATGTTGTCTGCCACTGCTGCTTCAGGTTGTCTGCCATTGCTACCTCATGATGTCTGCCACTGCTGCTTCATGTTGTCTGCCACTGCTACCTCATGATGTCTGCCACTGCTGCTTCATGTTGTCTGCCACTGCTGCTTTGTGTTGTCTGCCACTGCTGCTTCATGTTGTCTGTCACTGCTGGTTCATGTTGTCTGCCACTGCTGCTTTATGTTGTCTGTCGCTGCTGCTTCATGTTGTCTGCCACTGCTACCTCATGTTGTCTGCTCCCACTTTTGCTAACGTGTTGAAGAGGTTTCCAATATGTGAAGGTTGAGGGGCAGTGCCAATCGGACAGGTATTGGATGGTGACGTCATTTGTTTACTCTTGAACATCGCCAAAGAATCGAACATTTCTGCTACTTTGAGCTCAATTTCAAGGTACTTTTCGTCATGAACCAATCAAAATCCTATTTATTTCTGAAGTATATCTTCCATTCTATCGAATGAGACCAAAAAAACAAGAATACAACCATAAAAACCATACAAAAATATACTGCTAAGGGGAGGCTAATGGCTGAGAAGTGAACTCCATTATTTATGGTCCTATTTCTTTCATTTTTGGTGTACGCTAAGAAGCATCTTTCCGTCATACATTGCCCAAGTTTCAATAAGATAGCCCAACAAACAAGTGAGATCCAATTCCCTAGATCAAGAGCAAGAGCCCCTCACTATCTTGCATCAGGAAATTTCGCTCAAGTCTGGAAGCAAAAAATCAACTGAGTGACCTCATATCTGGAAAAACTCGCACGTTGGATGCACTCGTAAGTAGAGGTTCCACTGTACAGTGGTACCTCGGGATACAAACTTAATTCGTTCCAGAAGGCTGTTCGAGTGCTGATACCGAACGAATTTGTTCCCATAAGGAATAATGTAAATTAGATTAATCTGTTTCAGACCTCCAAAAATACACTTACAAAAGCACTTACATAAATACACTTACATAACTGCTCGAGTTTTGAGTTGTTCGTATCCCGAGGTACCACTGTAGTTCCAATTCTTATTTATTTCCTCTCATCTTTACAGTAAGTGGATAAGAAACCTTCCTTTGTAAGCCATGCATGTCATTAGAGGCTACTAAAATACTGGGAACAAGGGGCCAATAATCCCTTCTGTATCAACGTAAAAAAACTTTTACAGGTTACCCTGCCTCGGTAAGAGATGAATGCTAGGGTGAGGTGGATTAAAAGATAAAGAATCTAATACAAAGTGCAAGTTGCTACAGTTGCTTTTTGCCAATGACAAAGTGCATTTATGAGTTTGAAAAGAAGTTCCAAAGGTTGGTAGACAAATTTGGGGGGATATGTAAAAGAAGGAAACTAAAACTGAACATATGAAAGAGCAAGGTGATGAGATTAACAAAAAAATTTAGGTAATAAAAGAGTGTGTATCAAACTGAAAGGAGGGAGTTTAAAGGAAGTGAATGTGTTCAGACATTTGGGAGTGGACTTGTCGGTGGACGAGTCTATGAAAGATGAGGTGAACCACAGAAGTGACAAAGCAAAACAGGTAGTTGTTGAATTGAAACATCTATAGAAACAAAGAACATTCTCCATGGAGGCAAAAAAAGTAATGTATCAGAGTATCTTGGTATTAACACTCCCATATGGGTTTGAAACATGGGTTTTAACCTTTAAACGGTCCAAACATATTGACATTCAAATTCATAGTGCTACAAAAGTAGATCTACTTTTTTTTACATATTTTCAAATATAACAAAAAAAATGTAGATAAAAGTTTTTTTTACACTTTTAACATGTAAAACAACAAAAAAAAGATCTACATTTTTTTACATACTTTCAGATGTTGAAAAAACGTATATATACGTTTGGACCATTTAAGGGTTAAATACTGGTGCAGGGTTACTGAAAGTATTATCCAGAGGGCCGAGGAGAGGTTCTTCAGGCAGTTTAGTGATTCAGATAGGATGGAGCAAAACAGGATGACTTGGAGGGTGTATAAATCTGTAGTGGAGGGGAGGAGGGGTAGGGGTATTCCTAGGAAAGGTTGGAGGGAGGGGATAAAGGAGGCTCTGTATGCAAGGGGCTTCAACATCCAATAGGCGTATGTGTGCATGTTCGATAGGAGTGAGTAGAGGCAAGTGGTTTTTATGACATGACATGGTGTTGGAGTGTGAGTAAGGTACCCTTTACGAAGGGATTCAGGGAAACCGGCTAGTTGGACTTAAGTCCTGAAAGTTGGAAATACAGTGCCTGTATTCTGAAGGAGGGGCAGGGATACTGTAGCTTAGTGAAGCATCTGAGCTGTAATGTCAGCATGCCTCTAGCAAGATGGTGATGAAGTTTGTATCTTATATCTATTATTTACTTGAAAAAAAAAAAAAACTTGTGGGTGAAATGTTGTACCAATAAAAAACTCCACTGCATTTAGTGCGTTTATCACCACTCACTACATGAGCTAATTTCCTTCGCTCAAGCAACCATTCCTTTCCTAATAAATTCAATGGTATTTTTTTACAATTTCATTTATTCACTCAGAAAGTCTTTCTGCCCAGACTATACCTTAGTAACACATCTTAGTAACAGATACAGTCCTACATTTTTAGCTACAAATTTTAACCCAATCTAATTGTTTTCCATGCTAGGAACAAGAGATACAACCCATAGACAAAATGGACTTTTACCTGCCACAGTCGGACAGACAGTTATAATAATGGTAACCCTTATGAGATAATGAAAGACTGGACACAGTAAGCTAAATGTGGTATGAAGGTTCAATACTGGTGAAGGGAGGTTTGGCAAAAGGTTGTATTCATAAGTGGATCATTAAACCTCAACACAGAAGTATGATTTAAAAAATTTAAAATAATAGTTAAGATGTCAAAACACCATCAACCAAGAGAGCAGGAGGCCAATTATGAGCTCAAGTAGTAGTAGTAGTAGTAGTGAAAGAACAGTAAAGAGTTCATCTTGTTCACAGAGAGGCAGAACAATGAAATGAGTTACATGAGGCAGACGCAAGCACTAAAACCACTACAGATTAAAAAAATATGTATTTATAAAGTGAATACTGAAGGTGGATACTAAGAGCTTATCTCTGTTCTTGTAACCACAAGCAGTAAATACAAATAGAGACAAAGCAATAACGTACAAATTAAATTTTCAAAAGTAATTAACATGAACCTTACCCAGTGTGTAGATATTAGAGTTGAACAATGGTCCCTCAGTGTCTCAGCACCAATTTCATCTGCTGTGGTGTAGAGGCGCACACAATTGCGCACCGTCACCCAACCCATTAGTGCCTTCTCACATCTGAAGATACAGAAATTAACATTAAAGCAAAAATGAAATATATTATTAAAAAATGTTGTAATTTCTAAAAATGTCAAGTGTATATTTTTCCTCTATTATTTATAAAAAATAAGACTTAGTAATATAAGAGTGTTAACAAGTTGAACACTCTTAAATATGACACTTATTATTCTTTCTCCTTTCAACGCACCAGCTGTATCCCACTGAGGTGGGGTGGCCAACAGGGTGGCCCACAGGGTGGCCCAAAAGGAAAAACAAAAGTTTCTCCTTTTAAATTTAGTAATGTATACAGGAGAAGGGGTTACTAGCCCCTTGCTCCCGGCATTTTAGTCGCCTCTTATGACACACATAGCTTACGGAGGAAGAATTCTGTTCCACTTCCCCATAGAGATAAGAGGAAATAAACAAGAACAAGAACTAGAAAAAACAGAAGAAAACCCAGAGGGGAATGTATATATATGCTTGCACATGTATGTGTAGTGTGACCCAAGTGTAATTAGAAGTAGCAAGATGTGCCTGAAACCTTGCATGTTTATGACACAGAAAAAAAGGACACCAGCAATCCTACCATCATGTAAAATAATTACAAGCTTTCGTTGTACACTCATTTGGCAGGACGGTAGTACCTCCCTGGGTGGTTGCTGTCTACCAACCTACTACCTAGGGACAGTTATTATTATTACTCTATATTCACTTTCATGGTAATAATGACACAGTAGTATCTTCATGGTTTGGTGAGATACTCTTCTTCAAGTTCAAATATTTCTTTATGAAAACATTACTGATACATAAATATTATTACTATTAATTTCCATGAATATAAATTAGCTTTAAAAAGAGATGTAAAAAGAGTTCTTTTAAAACATGGAAAAGTGTACAGATATGAGAAACTTTTCAAAAGTATACTGCATGTATACTTATGTGCACATATTAATAAACACACAAGGTGCATTACTAAAATAAAACATTAGCTCAATGTAATCTTCTGGTAACAATCTTTTGTCAATGACTCCTGGGTCCCTCTCCTGTCTGATGTCTCTATTGTTTTATAAAACAAACAACTTTATTTCTATAAAGTGGTGCACTGTACAGTAACATTTACGTTTCGAAGAGAGTAAATGCCAGCTGCTCTAAGCTACATCAACCACCAGCTAAGAGATATATTAGCCTGGGGGAAACAAATGGCATGTAACATTTGCTCCTGAGAAAACACAAATGATGACAGTCTCCAGGCACCATGATGGTAATGCCAGAACAGAAGTATGAACGGGAGTGTGTTGGTACCTGGGGACGAAGTTAACATCCTTGGGGTGAAATCTGACTCCAAACTGACCATGAAGAACAAAGTTGTTAATATTGCAAACAAAGCGACCAGGAAACTTACAGCACTTTGATGTATCTCACATCTGATCGACAGCAGAGGTTGCAAGATTCTGTACGAGGCACAAGTACGCTCACACCTTGAGTATGCTCTGCTTTGAGAGACAGACAGACAGACTGACCGAGACTGACTGAGACTGACTGACTGACTGAGACTGACTGACTGAGACTGACTGAGACTGACTGACTGACTGAGACTGACTGACAGACTGACTGACTGAGAGAGACAGAGACAAACAGACAGACAGACTGACTGCCTGGCTGCCTGGCTGTCTGTGTGTGGATGTGTGCATGCTATATCCCTTTTATTACATGGCATTTATCCATATTTAAATATACTATCTATCTTTGACTCTACTTACTTCATGAAGTTGTATTAACAAATACCAAGACATGTGGTGTTACTGGTAGTACACCAAGCCAGGTAGTTACTGGTAGTACACCAAGCCAGGTAGTTACTGGTAGTACACCAAGCCAGGTAGTTATAAAACAGCAGGAATCACTATTTATATAAAAAAACCCTAAACTCAACAGTACAACTATGCTAGAACAAGCATAAAGGCTAACACACTGAGACTGCCTCTGGTAATTTAATGAATTGTAAACATATGATACTACCAAACAACTTGCTAGAGTGAAAGATACTGGAAGAAATGACAAACAAACAAGTTTTTTCCCCATAAAGTGGTATACTGTAAACAATCAGAATAATTTACATCTATAAACTACTTCATAGAAAACTCCTTGTTATGCAAGGCATTTCAGGAAGTGTTAAAACTAACTTATAATTACTAATTGTACCCATGGCAGGGGATGCCATGGATACAGTTAGAGAACACCATGTCAACAACCTGGGTTCAAAACTGTTAACCCTTTCAGGGTCCGTCCTGTAGATCTACGGCTTTCAAGCCAGGGTCCAAGCCGTAGATCTACGTCAAAATTCTAGCGGCTTCAAATTTAGAGCGAGAAGGTTGGTAGGCCTACATCTAAGAGAATGGGGCTGCGTGGTCAGTATGAACAGTAAACAAAAAATCAGGGCACCCGCACTGCACTGTGGGAACGCCATCTCAGTACACTTTATTCATCATGCTTGGCGGCAAGGAAGCTCTCACTCCCCAGTAAATTCTGACTCTAGTCTTCCAAAGTTATAGTTCTAACACTGATGAAAGTGGATCTGAAGAAGAATTCTATGGTTTTGAACCATAGGGTACAATGGTACCATATGGAACAATGGTGCCATATACAATGGTACTGTATGGTATATTGTACCATATGGTACAGGGACCCTAATGGAAATAAGCCACTTTGACTTTTTTGGGTTATCCTAGATTCTCCAAACATATGCTGCTATGTATGGTAATCTATGTAATTGTATTTGTGTATACCTGAATAAACTTACTTAAGATGCCACATGCGCTCGAGTAAGTTTATTCAGGTATACACAAATACAGTTACATAGATTATCATATATAGCAGCATACATGTAAAGGTCCTAGGATAACCCAAAAAAGTCAAAGTGACTTATTTCCATTAGGGTCCCTGTACCCTGTACCATATGGTGCCACGAGCATGCAGCACGTAAGCATGCAGCATGCTGCACCAGCCCAGACTGGGAGTGACTCAGCTGTTGACTCAGTAGTTCCAGAACAAAGCACATTGTTGTCCACCAGTGGAAGGAGACGACCGTGCCTGAAATGTATTTGTTGTTTTGCAACAATAATACTTATTCCTTATGTCTATAAGCATAATATAAAATCATACTGGTTGATAGATGAGTAAGACACCACTGTGCATGATACCACGTTTCAAAGACTTTCACAGACTGCAGCCATTCTAGGAACATGTCCAGTGACTGTACATACGTAAATATATCATAGAACATTACTAATATACAACATCTTTGAATGTTTTTTGTTGTAAACAATTATTGTAAACAAAAGAATGATGAAAACATTAGTGCAGTTACTGTGTTGAATACAATGAGTGTACATATGTACATTATGCATTATATTTTCTCACAAGCTACAAACATTACTGGAAAAAAAACAAAATTAGAAAAGAAAAAGAGAACAAGGAAGTAAAATAAAAAATGTGATGCCGATGTTGCCGCCACCCAGTCACTGAGGGTCAAATTGACACCTCTGTATCTTGGAAAGTACTGATTGGAATTTTTTTTTTGTTTTCTTTTATCACCAATAGAAAAATATTATCTTTAACCCTTTGACTGTTTCAGTCATATATATACGTTTTATGAGCCACTGTGTTTGACATATATATACTCATAAATTCTAGTAGCTTCAAATCAAGCAGGAGAAAGCTTGTAGGCCCACATGTGAAAGAATGGGTGTGTGGTCAGTGTGCAACATATAAAAAAAAATCCTGCAGCATGCAGTGCATAATGAGGAAAAAAAAACTCCGACCGTTTTTTTTTAATTAAAATGCCAACTTTGTGGTCTATTTTCATTTATTTATTTATTTATTTTATGTCTTTGCAAACAGTACATTGAGATTTTGTATTTACAATAGTGGGTTGTACAAGAATGGTATACAATACCGACAAGATGAAATTAAGACACATGTGCAACATCTGGGTATCAATATTGTAGACGTTTCGCCATCCAGTGGCTTTATCAATACAAATTCCAGGACATAACTTGAAGATAATAGAACTATGTACAGAAGATGAGGTAATCAGTCCCTCAACCTAGGAGTAGGTGTGAAGAGTGCCAAAGCCGTGGAAATTCTGAAGCAGAAGCAAGGTGCCTGACGCTTATATACTAACATCAGGTGATAATGGGATGGGTAGCAGACGAGGGCATAGTCACTGGTAGGCGGGATTCCCCAGTGGAAGTAGGTCCTACCCAAAGAGATGGGTTATTTGTAGTAGTAGTTGTCGTAGTCGTGAAGGTTATGTACATGTCCTCAGAATCAAGATTCCCTGATGTTGCAGTGTCAGACACTGCAACATCATAACCTTCACGACTACGACAACTACTACTACAACTAACCCATCTATTTGGGTAGGACCTACTTCCACTGGGGAATCCCGCCTACCAGTGACTATGCCCTCATCTGCTACCCATCCCATTTCCACATGACGTTAGTATATAAGCGTCAGGTGCCTTGCTTCTGCTTCAGAATCTCCACAACTACGGTGCTCTTGGCACCTACTCCTAGGTTGAGGGACTGATTACCTCATCTTCTATGCAAAGTTCTACTATCTTCAAGTTATGTCCTGGAATTTGAATTTATAAAGCCACTGGATGGCGAAACGTCTACAATAAAGATACCCAGATGTTGCACATGTGTCTTAATTTCACAACAGTGGGTTGTAATGCAAAGAGAGCCTCTATTATGCCTAGGCATTATGGGCCAACTTAACATTATTGGCTTACAGACTACTTGTACAGTAGATTATTAATTATAAGTGAATCAAATTTGTATAAGACAAAAGATATATTCATATATTCTAAAATGCTTTTTGTGAAAACAATGATTCAATTATGTTCCTGTCAACAATGGATAAAAGGTTCAAAGTAATTGCTGAAGTTATGATGTGGGAGTGCATAAGTATGTGTGTACTGAGTATTTAGCATTTAGTCTAGGGTGATTAAGT